CAAGATACTAAGACTGGCAAGAGAGAAACGGCAAGTTACCTACAAAGGATATCCCATCAGTCTAACAGCAGACCTCTCATCAAAAACAATGTGAGCGAGGAAAGAATGAGATAAATATACTCAAAGTGTTAAGAGAAAAGCAATTTCAGCCAAGAATACGGTACCCGGCAAGATTATCTTTCATGTGGGAAGAAAAGACAAGAACATTCTCAGATAAATAAAACCTGAAAGAATTTACCAGCACCAGACCAGATCTCTAAGAAGTTCTCAAGGGTGTGCTATATCAGGAAAATTAAATACAGATACATGGAAGTAAGAGTTCAAAAACTAAAAAAGTGGCCAACTTAATTGTAGGGACAAGTCTAGAGTTGAATATTATATCCCAGAATTTGGGGGCTGGCAAGTGGCATGGTGGTTAGGGGCGCTGGACTCCCCCATGGCCAACCATGGTTCAAGTCTCGGACCTGGTGGCTTGCTTTCTCACTTCCTCACTCTGTCTCTCTCTGATCAAACTGGAAAATAACAATGATAATAATAATAAAGTTAAATAAAAATAATTATTTTTTAAAAAAATTATATCCCAGAATTTAATCGGGAAAATTGAACCACAACAGAAGATAAAGTACATGAGACTGATAGGTTCATGCACCTTCCATTTGAACAGATTCCTAACCTGTTTCCTGGCTTTAAGCAAGGTTCCTTAGCATTTTTTTAATTTAAATTAAAACTGGTTTTTTTAATAGTACCAAGTGAACTTACTATTAAAAGTAGTCAGATTATTTAAGAAATTGTGTGATCAATACAATGTGGTTGGGAAAGGAATGAAAGACAGTTGTAGACACCAAAGATAGTGTGAGAGAGGGTGGGAAAGGACAGAGGGTTAGAAAGAGGGGTAAAAAAATTCTAGAAACTAGAAATGGAAAATTTTTGATAATAATATGCATGATTAAGTCACTATGCAATATATTCTGGATAGGAAATCACATTTTGTATGCTGTGATGATGCTTAGGGGAAGAATGTAAATTAAGTTAGAAAAAAGTTTCAGGAAAAAAATATCTATTTGATGACTGCAGTAAGAAATATAGCCCTAGCTAGGTGCTACTTTATAAGATGCCTAAAGTTAGACTTGTGTTCATGGAAATGTAAATATCAGCTGTGTTTGCTATCAAAATATTTAGATTAATTAACATCTTTAGTAATTCAATAAAATGTAGGGGAAAAACAGTATAGAAAACAAACATAGATACCAGAGACAGTGTGGGAGGAGAGTGGGAGATAGCAGAGGGTAAGAGATAGGGAATCAAGGATGGGGGAAAAAAAAGCAAAACATACAGGAAACAAGAAATGGAAAATTATTTGTTGACAATAACATGTATGTTGAAGTGTTTGATTAAGACAATATACAGTGTACTCTGTATGGAAAATCTCATTTTGTATGTTGTAATGATGTATAGTGAATGAATGTAAATAAATAATATATTTAAAAAAAAAAAAAATCTCACACCAGGCATGTGTGCATGTGTGCCCAAAATCCCAAGAGGAGAATGAAGAAGGGATTATGGTGTGGCCATTCCCCCCAGGGGGTGATTTCTCGCTTTCTCTGGTAAGCGCACAGAGCCTAGGAGCAGAAATCTCCCTCTCTAAATAAAAAGTCTTCAGAGGAAGAATAAACTTTATATTGCCCTTTTAAAAAATAATTACCGGGCCAGTGGGTGGTGTGGTGGTAAAGGCACTGGAATTCCCACATGGCCTATCACGGTCCGAATCCCAAACCTGGCGGCTTGCTTTCTCGCTCTTTGTGTCTCTCTCTCTCTCTCTTTCTCTCTCTCTTTCGCTGGCAAAGCTCATGTGAAAAAATAAATAAATAAATAATTCTTTAAAAATTTTTTGAAAAAGAAAATATAAACAGGGACCAGCAGTTGGCATAATGGTTATGTCCCTGAACTCCCATGTAGTCGACCATGGTGGTTAAACACGCATTGGACTCCCACATGGCCGACTGTGGTTCAAGTCCTGAACCTAGTGGCTTGCTTTCTCACTTTCCCTCTCTCGCTCCCTCTTTCTCTGTCTGATCAAAATGAAAAATAACAATAATAAAAAATAAAGTTAAATAAAATAATTCTTAAAAAAAAAAAAAAAAAAAGAGCATAGATGAAAAGTTGGAAATAAACTGCAGGCCTCAGAACACAGCTTCTATAGTGGAAGATAGTGACATGTGGCCAGAAGCATGCTTTTTCTTTTTCTTTTTTTTTTAATAAAGAATTGGCCTTAGGACGTATGTGTTCTTTTTTTTTTTTTCTTTTTTCTTTTTTTTTCTTCGCTATAGGGCGCGTGCGCTCGCCAGACAGACAGAGAGAGACATAGAGACAGAAAGCGAGAAATCACCCCCCAGGGGGGATGGTCACGCCGCAATCCCTTCTCCTCCATTCTCCTCTCGGGATCTTGGGCACGTACGCACACATGCCCGGCGTGAGTTTTAAGCCACCGGGTCCGGGACGCGAACCACGGTCGACTACGTGGGAGTCCAGCGACATAGCCATTATGTTAACTGCTGGTTCCCGGGACGTATGTGTTCTTAAAAGAGAGGGCAGCAGATGGCATGGTGGTTAAGGTGCTGGATACTCCCACGCAGCCGACCATGGTTTGAGTCCCAGACCTGGTGGCTTGCTTAAACACTTTCCCTCTCTCTCTGTCTCTCTCTGGTCAAATTAAAATAAATGAATGAAGGGACCAGCAGTAATGGCTATGTCACTGAACTCCCATGTAGCCAACCACGGTTCAAATCCCGGACCCGGTGGCTTATACTCACGCCAGGCGCGTGTGCGTGCGTGCCCAAGATCCCAAGAGGAAAATGGAGGAGAAAGGATTGTGGCGTGGCCATCTCTCCGGGGGGTGATTTCTCGCTTTCTGTCTGTTTCTCTCTTTCGGGCGAGTGCACACACCCTATAGCAAAAACCTCTCCAAAAAAGTAAATAAATAAATAAATAAATAAATGAATAAATAATTTTTTTGAAAAATGAAAGAGAGACAGGGAAAGTGAGAAATCAACCCCCAAGGGGAATGGCCATGTGAAAATCCCCTCTCCATCTTCATCCTGGGATCTTGGGCACCCAGCATGATTTTCAAGCCACCAGGTCCAAGATTCAAACCACAGTTAGTCATGTGGAAATCCAATGACATAACCACTATGCCATCTGAACATGTTCGTTTTGTAGAGGCTTTTGACTTAGGGCATGTGTGCTTGCTAGAGAGAGAGAGAGAGAGAGACAGTGAGAAGGAAAGTGAGAAATTATCCCCCAGAGGAGGGACACACTGCAATTCCTTCTCCTCCCAGGATCGTGGCCACGCATGCACACACACCCAGCATTGAGCTTCAACCTACCAGGTTCATGACTCAAACCATAGTCAGCCATGTGGGAGTCTACCAACGTAACTGCTATACCCTCTGTGGACCTTGAAGCATGTTCTTTTAAACACAATTATTTTTAAAAGCAAAAAGGGCTGAGAGAAAGAAATGAGGCAATCTAATACAGACCCTGAACCTCTCTGTAAGGCTTAGCAGCCAGATACAGGCTTAGCATGTTCCTGAAGAACCTGCAGGCTTTCCTAGGAAAGTGGTCTGGAGGAGTTCTCTTACCTGAGCACAACTGTTCAATCTTTGTCAGATTCAACTGCAGAGATTCATTGATCCAGGCCAGCATGTCATGTCGACTTAGGTTATCACTAGTGACTGAGGTTGAGTACACGTTCACTGCCATCTTCTACGGCATATGAGAAAGAGAGGACATGTGTTACATTAGGCATGCAAGTGAGAACAAGCACTTCCTAGGGAGACGCCCAGGGCGGACCTGTGGCAACACTCAGTTAAGTCTCATCCTCTTCCCCAAGACACCAAACCAGAGACACTAGGACTCCAGCCCCAAGTCTGGATTTCAGACCTGAAATAAACTGCCCAACCAGCCAGCCGAAAATTTAGTCTCCCCTCATTTTTTGGGTTTCGCAATAGAGTGCATGCACTATCAAGAGAGACAGAGGGAGGGGACCAGCAGTTAACGTAATGGCTATGTCGCTGGACTCCCACGTAGTCGACCGCGGTTTGAGTCCCGGACCCGGCAGCTTAAAACTCACGCTGGCTTCCTCTCTCTCACTCTCACCCTCTGTCTCTCTCTGGTCAAATTAAAAAATAAATGAATGAATAAATAAAATAAAATAAATAATTTTCTCACGCTGGGCGCATGTGCGTGCGTGCCCAAGATCCCAAGAGGAGAATGGAGGAGAAGGGATTGCGACGTGGCCATACCCCCTAGGGGGTGATTTCTCGCTTTCTATCTCTGTCTCTCTCTGTCTGCCTAGCGCCCACGCTCTGTAACAAAAACCTCTCAAAAAAAAGAGAGAGCGAGACAGAGGGAAAGTAAGAAATCACCCGCCCATCGGAGATGGCCGCATTGTAATACCTTGTCCTCCATTGTCCTCTCTAGATTTTGAGCACACACACACAGACCCAGTGTAAGTCTCAACCCCCCAGGTCGGGGATTCAAACAGTACTTGGCCAAGTAGGAGTCCAACAACTTAACCACCATGCCACCTGCTGACCCTAGGCCCCCTCCCCTTTTTAAGTTTTTTTTTGTCTTAGGACATGTGCCTATGACAAAAAGGAGAGACAGGGAGATTCAGAGAGAATAAAGCAAGAAATCTCCCCCTAGGATGAATGACCATACCGCAGTCTCTTCTCTCCCCTCAGTATTTTGGGTGCACGCACACACACACATGTCCTGTGTGATTTTCAAGCTGCTGGGTCTAAGACTCAAACCATGGTGGACCATGTGGAAATCCAGCACCTTAACTACCATGCCACCTGCTGACCCCACAGGCCCCATTTTAATGTGAAAGATATAAAATTTTAAACCATAAAAGGCACTAGTAAAGGGATAAATAATAAGTAAAGGGAGCCTGATGTACAAACAAGAATGTTCTCTATTTAGAAAACAAGTCCACAGAGACGGCAGGTGGCACGGTGGTTAGGGCGTTGGACTCCCACATGGCCAATCACCTGTTTGAATCCTAGACCTGGCAGCTTCCTTTCTCACTCCTCCCTCTGGTGAGTGCATGTGCTCCATAGCAAATTTTAAAATAATAATAAATAAAATTATTCTTAGAAAACAAGTCCAAGGCCAGCAGGTGGCATGGTGGTTAAGCCACTAGATACCACTATTTAAGTACCAAACCCAGTGGCTTGAGAAACACACCAGGTACATGTATGTGCACTGTGCCCAAAATATCAAGGAATGGAAAAGGGACTGTGGCATGGCCATTTCCCGACCCCACGGGGAGTTATTTCCCACTTTCCC